CCCTCTCCTGTAAAATTTTATCTCGTGAAGATATGCGCCTTTTACCAATGCTACATACGTGTCTTAGCACTGTCTTCGACGATATCTTGTTGAGTCTGCTAAGTCTATCTGCATAGTAAAACCGTCTCCCTCCTATATCTACAGAGTTAGTCCAATTGGCTTTCTGGTAAATAATGTATACTTTGATAACAGTCACAGTTTTAAGCAGCAGTAGAGCTTCTTGTGAAAGATTTCGTCCAGGAAAGTATTGACACCTTACCTCTTCCTGTCACCAAGCAGTAATGTGAGCATGACTGCGTTTCATTTTTTGAAGGGTTAAGGGCGCTGGTGTAATTGCAGGCATATGGGACTTGTCAACTTATGTCTCAGGGTGACGGGCGCAATGGCAGTGCCCCCCTCAGACCTTTGTGATTTAAAGGCACTGCAACTGTTATGGACAGGTGTGTCGCTTACCACCAAGCGCATGACTTGTTCGTCCCGTCACTTGACATTGGTTACCTATCACAAACTCGAATTCTTTTTTCCGAATGTCATTACTCCGAAATAGTTTGACTTTTTTTCATTACATATTTTTTCATTACCATTGTGCTATGTTTTTGCTGTCATCGGAAATGCAATGCGAGTGCCAGAGCCGAATTTGTTTGCATTACCACCCCCTCCTGTAGATTTAGGTTAGGTTAGTATATGAAAAGGCCGCACGAGCCGAGCGAGCGAAGCGAGCGTGTCACGGCAGCGGCCGGTGAGTGCCAGAGCCGAATTTGTTTGCATTACCTAGACGGTACGACCCCCTCCTGTAGGTTTAGGTTAGGATATGAAAAAGCAGCACGATCAGAACGAGCGAAGCGAGCGACTACAACTCGATCAAATTAACTTGCATCTCGTTTATCATATTTTCTAAAGATGCGAGGTACTTTAATTTGACTTGAATTTAATAAGAAATAATATAACAAAAATTTATTATGGATATCGTTTTTTACAAAATAAAAATATTCAATTAGATACATTGGTCAAACGGTTTATTGGGGAAATAACAATCGGGAAAAGAATAACTCGTCAATATGTCAAAATAGTAAAACATGTTTATGTATGTTTTCGAATAAATGAAACAAAATTTGTTCAATAAAAATCTAAAGGTTTTCGAAGAAACAAAATTCTGTAAATCATGTTTCTAGCTTGTGATAGGTAACCCTTGATATTGTAAAAAAAAACGGTATGTCTATCTGCATAGTAATACCATAATACCGTCTCCCTCCCATACTTACACAGTTAGCCCAATTGGCTTTCTGGTAAACAACTTATACTTTGGTAACAGTCACATTTTCTCTAACAACAGGGATTTAATAAAAAGCAGTGGTAGCCTTATGGTTTGACCTTCCGTGACTCAAGCAGAGGTCGAGGTTTATTTGCAAAATTTAAATTGAAATATGGCATAAAGCTTTTACCTTTTCCGTGAAGGAAACCGTGTACCGCCCAGGAGTCCACACATACTCGATGGTCCCCCGAGCCAAGCGGTAAACATCCCACGACTACAAAAATAGGGCCAGCTTGCTCCTAATCATTCTTGTTCTGCGAGCCTAGAAGTCAATTTCTGGTGATCTTACACGTGTGGTCAGTATTATCTATGTCTTTTTTGATAGAGGTGACAGTCGAATTAGGTATGTGTTTAATCGAACTGATACCCAGAATAAAGGGCAGATGGTTGGTTACCTGCATCTGCATTATATTCTGTAACATTTTAAATCATTTTATTATATGAGATACCTAATTTTTTATCAAATTATTCTTTTAACTATCTCCGTGGCCGAACGGTTACCACGCTGGGAGGTATTTATATGGCGTAAATTTACTTCTCTCGTGAGTTTAGGGTTAGTTTGTGGTTGTACTATGTGTGTGTCCATGGCACCCGTGATACAGGGTTTCCCTAGTGCGGGACTATGTTGAGTGTGTGCGTTATTATTATTTATATATTTTTATAACATCAAGTTACGGGGCGAACAAGTCCCGTAATGGTAAGCTACGCGCCTGTCCATAACAGTTACAGTGCCACTCAGAGCTTTAAATTGCAAAGACTGCACTTGCGCCCGTCACCCTGAGATATAAGTTGACAAATCTCATGTGCTTGTAATTTCACCAGCACCCTTACCCTTGGAAACCGGAACATAGTAATGTTGACATTACAGCTTGGCGGCAGAAATAGATAAGATGGCAGTACTACCCTGGACGAACTCTTTCACAAGAAGCTCTACTGCTTGAGGGCATCAGTGAGCGAAATTTGCGAAATTTTTTGATTACAAAATCACTTTTGCAACGGATAACAATTATTGTAATTGTTTAGTTATTCAATACAAGATATGAGTCATTGAACAAGGTATTTACGTGATCATGTACAAGCTCAAAGATAGTATACTGGGGATCACTATGGACAGTTGTGCTCTATGGAAATTTCCAATAGGGTATCTCAGGACTATGAGATCTAAAATTTTATAGTGGATTATTGATGATTTGATTTTTTTTATTTTCCTAAAATTTTACATAATAGCTCCACGTTTTTCGAAAATGCTTATTTAGAAAATGACGACAAAAAAAGTTGATTTATATAATAATGTAATTACGTGTTATTACTGTACAATTATCCATGTTTTCTTTTCTGCTTCAATGTCTGATTAATTGTGTAAGTTTTAACAAGTTTCGGATATGGTAGTTCGATTTTAATTTGAATTATTTATTAGTTATGTCAATATCGATAAAATAGGTGCAGTTTTCGGCAACATAAAATTGTATTTTCTTGAGTAATCTTACATAATTATATATTTTTGCATTTCACTAGCTCAGGCGACAATTCGCGCCGAGTACACGCCGATGTTGAGTGAGCTAATGAGAGCTTTCGGACACCCCTAGTCAATTTGTAGAACGTCACCTTATTTGTGTAAAATAGAACATTTTCGAAATATGTCTCGCATCGAGACATTAAAGCATTTAGGGTTGATACTATTATGCTGGAAACCTTATTTTTTGTACAGATTCCTTTTAAATAAATTTTAAAAATGTTACTAAAAATTGACACAGATAATGTGGAGGGCATTATCGTAGTACCTACACAGCCTCCTGTATAATAACGTGTTAATCTCTCATACATTTTAATATTAGAGTTAAAAAGAATTTCAAAGCAATACAAGTTGTACCGGAGTCCTAGAGCGATGGTACACGGGTGCCGTACTCAGTCCGTTGAAATAATAGCGTTGCGATGACGCAACGCAACGCCCGTGTGGCGTCTCCCTAACGCCGTGTACCTACACACCACAGTACTCCTCCCTGGCTCTTCTCCTGGACCTTTGTCCGATGCACGCGCGTTCCGTCACCGCGCGCCATTTCAACGCAGTATGTGGCATGTGGTTCTAGTTTATATGTAGTACAACGCACCCTCACCAGTCAGGCGTCGCAACGCGTGCTGTGGCATCGCAACTATTAGGGAAAGGCGTGTAGCTTACCACCAGAAGCACGACTTGTTCGTCCCGGCACTTGGTATCATAAAGAAATGCTCCGGTGGCATCTGTACTAAAATTAGTTGATCGTCACTATTCCAATTGTCATAACTAGCGTAATGCTTAATTTTACAGGGTGCGTTATTTACGACTTAACACGTAATATCTTGAGCTATAGCTTGGGTCAAAGTTGTTCTTTCAGTGATGTATATTCCTACAAAGTACATATAACGATTGGCGGCGAATGTTAGATTTTGAAAGCTGAGTTTAATCGTGCAACTTACTGAGATACGTTTACAAATTTTGTACTACTTGTATCAAACTCAAGTATAAGATTATTTGGTTTCATGGGTTAAATAAAACTTGAAATTGTCACAGTGAGTAAAATCTACACATTTGTAAATGATGTAGAACGACGTATTATAACATCGTTTAATTTCTTTTATTTCATCGAAAAACGTAAGAGAACATTATTTAGCAATTCAAAATCTTAATAGTAACGTCTTTGCTTTACAACATATCAAAATATTAAATCTCTAGCGTCGCGATTTCACACGATAGGTGAGGACTATTCACACATACCAATGATCGCTGGCATACACGCACAACGTCGGCGTGCGGTGTATAGCCGCCAGCAGTAGGTATCTATTATTATTTGCTACAATGACTTAATAGCCTGTAAAAGAAACGTTTATAAACGTTTGCATTAATGTGTGAGGAAAATATCAGCCATAGCACAATTGCATCAATCGCCAGAGACTGTGATAAACCTCTTAAATGGCAAATTTTGAATATAAACCGGAATCTTATCATAGAAACGTATATATTGCCCCTTAAATGAGTTTGTGACTTTATGAAGACGATTGTCAGCATTTGGTGTTGAATTTACCGCGAGTTTAAACGCCTACGATGGTTATGTTCTCGAGGCCCTGATTGTAATGCTGATATATAATGCGGGTATTAAATGTAACAGAAAATTCGTATAGTAACTACTGCCAAAGGTTGCCGGTCTCTGGATCGCTTCTCTGTTTATAAAAAGCGATACCATACACATTGGCTATAGTTTAATGCATCACATCACTAATATCAGTCATAATAACTTATATCTGCATTAGTCGTTAGGGTGTATAAATGATATAAAAATAAATAAAACACTTCTGTAATAAGGCCCAAATAAGATCGGGGTTTTTTTTTTAATTTTGAGAAGCAAATTAAACAATGTTACTATTCGACGAGTCGTTGCGCAAAATTGATTATATATTTCGTATGACAGGCATGCATCTAAACAATCGCAAGAATTTCAATTTAAAACGGGCAAGAATTATTTTTTATTTTAATTTTTTTATTTCCATTTATGATTTGTTTGGCGCTACTTATTTTTTTATACGTGGACTATACACGGGAGAAGACGTGACGTTAGTGATTTATGCTATTAGTTGTATTATTATGGGTATGTTAAGCTATGCAAAGTCCGTATCGTCTGTTGTTCACCATAAATATATAGACGAAATAGTGTTCATGTTGAGAGATCTTGAAACAAGATCTAATTTGAAAGATCACGTTAATGAAAACATAAAGGAATCTATAAAATTTTTGCATTTAGTCCTGAAAGTGCAGAATTATTGTAATTGGGTATTAATAATCGTGTTTCCGTTAATGCCACTTTCTTTGACAGCGTATATATATTTTACATCAAATGATATTGTTTTGTTGTTGCCTTTTTATGCTGTGTATCCGTTTGATGCGTACAGTATCAATTATTGGCCAATTATTCTCATCAAGCAGATTTGGACTGGTAAGTGAGAACCGCTGATTTTTTTCGCACTGTCAGGGTGGACTACGCAATAGAAGTGAATTTTGTAACGAAATTGTATAATGAAATTTGTCATTGTGTAACGCACGAACTGGATACGATACATCGCGGAAATTCTCCGCAAAACGCTGGACCTGTTTTTTGGTTCGTATCTATTTTTTTTGTTTATTTTCGTTCATTCTCGGTCTAGTGTTCACTACCTAATTTGCATGGCAATTTTTATTATTTAAATATTCAAGTATATTATCATTTAATTACTAAATAATATATTTCCACGATACAATACTCGAATATTAAACAATATTGCACTACAAAAAAACCAATATTTCAACAATAAAAATTGCTACGGAACTTTGGTAGTGAACACTAGTCCGAGAATGGCCGTTTTATACTATAAGATATGGTAATTCCGTGCAAACTTAGCAGCGGTTTGTATGTGTGCACGCCCGCTGCGCGCCTAGTACGAACGCACACATTCGCATGATCTCGCGGTACACTCGCGTTGCATAGCGCAGGTTGTCCTACGTGCCATACATTTAGATACCAATCCGCGATGCTAGTACAAAAACGTAAATAAGTAAATACCAAGTGCGTTTAATAAATATTATTTCAATATAGCACCTAGAAGTGCTGTTAAAATATACATATACATTCTCCTATTTTCGGCTACGGCAATAGCTTCAGCGCCGTCTCGTGAGCTTTCACGTAGCTCACGTATCCAATCTTATTAGTAAAAACCTCTGCGCACAGGGATCACGTGAGCACACCGTGAACGTACCAGTAGTTGATCGCTGCCAGTGGTCGAGTTGTTAGCTCGTCACGTCTTACGTCTAGCTCAATTCGTCGATGGGTCTCAAATTGTGTTGATTTGTTTGTCACAAAAGATCTCCATATGGGACGATTAGCTGCCTGCTTCTCCTAATGTTTGCAACCCTACGCTCCGAGCGAAGTTGCCCGAAGCTACTTGCTCTTATTATATGTTTAGTTTATGTTGTAGTTTGTACGCTACACAGTTGTCAAAACGTTCATTATGCTATGGTTACTAAAATTGTTTTTTATTGTAAATTGAGCTTTAAAGTTGTTTATAATAAACGGTGGTATTTTATCAACCCTCTTCAGGTATAATGCGACTAACTTACCGCCTAACGTATATCTTCATAGTGGTAACACATTTTCATAAAGAGGGTTTTGTAAGAGTCGTACTCAGGCTCTTGACAATTAACATAGATGCAGTCCATAGTACATTCAGAAAAGGTATGACGACGGCAAAATCTCAAGTTCAATTTCAAAAGAATGAAGTCACAGTAGGATCGGATTTAGTGTAAGATTTAGTACCCACGGAGGTACCGCTGAAAAGCGTGTACCGCTGCTGGTACCGCTTGGAATGTTCTGTAGGATTGTAATGTAGCTAGGAGAGTAGTAGCCTCCGCAGCCTCGATACATCTTGCTTAGTAAGTTTAAAGGTCTAGAGGAGGAAATAAATCCGATTTTATAAACATTTCTTCATCTTTAAACGAGTGGCCAGGAACCGGAGAAAAGGTCATAAAAAGGTGGGATGACGATATAAGGAGGTCACATCGTCACACCGTAGTTCTATTCTTACCAGAGCGCGGTGTAGGTCATCAGATGCTGTCAAATTTTCTTTTCTATAATGTATATATTCGTCTCTAATCCTTACTGTGCACAAACATAATGCCTTTGTTCGATTTATCCTTGTAAAAGGACAGAATCAAACAGCAAGGCCTAAGTTAGGTTATTCAGACTATATTAGACTTAATTGTCAATTATTTTCCAGTAATATTAACTGTCCTTTACGTCTTTGGTGCGGACGCGCTATACTACATCTGTTGCACATTTATCCACGTGCAATTCAAGTTGTTGCAACAGGAGATACAAGGTAGTATTCCTGAATCTTTACCTTACGATGGAAGGGAGGGTTTTGGAAGAGAAGTGGACGAGGCGTTAACTTTGAAAATAGCCAAACTTGTTACGTGGCATCAGGATATTATTAAGTAAGTATTGTCAACCACTACTCATATCGTCAGCTTAGACGCATCTGGTAGGATTACCTTTCCCATATGGCACTGCATCGTGAGGAAGGTGATGTGATTGATAAAAAAAAAATGTAATAAGACTAATTTATAAGCTCTTTTTACTAAAAGATTATGGAAGTTGTTTGAAATAAAGGAATTTTATTTTTTTAATTTTATTTTCTAAGCCTGTTATTGAGCACGTCAATACTCCCGGTCCTGTGCCGCCCGAGTTCAGCCGCTGCTGGTCACTTTTCTCTAGTCATCCGTCCATCTTGTCGCATGGTATCCTACGATATTATTAAGGGTGCGTACAGATTTGGCGAATGCGCCGCAAATACGCCTATTCGCGAGCTGCACACGTGGATTACGTTGTGCGATCTGTTCGCTTGCCATTCGCGCGCCACTCGATCGCCACCATAATAAATTATATTAACTTGTATTTAATTTCATGCATGCAGCACGCGTGCAGCGCGCGTGCAGTATGCGAGCAGCGCGCGCGCATCGCACATGCAACGCGTTCGCGGTGCATTCGCCAGTTCTGTACGCAGCCTTATGGGATTTTTATATAGAAAAGGATTTCAAAAAACAATAATAAGAATAACGCTGTCCTTATTAATCTTCGTCAAGATCACTAAAAGAAAACAATCTACTTTCATTGTTCGGTTGACTGATAATAGAAAAAGTCACGCCGAATGATGTCATTATTTAATTTTGATAAAAATAATCCCTTCTTAACGATGTTTACTGAGTACGTAGCAAATAGTTTCATTTCCTATACACACGGTGTCAATTGTTACAAGTTTTTGTTAACTGTATGGTTCATAACTTGATTGATAATTATTTTCAGAGCTGTGGGTTTAGTGGAAAAGATCAACTCCAAAACGACCCTCTTTAACTTCCTGTGCAGTTCGTTTCTGATTTGTCTGACTGGGTTTACTGTTACGGTAGGACTAACAATAATCATCATTACTTATCATTATATCCCCTTCTTTATGTCCGCTTGACGAGTACGGGTATCGTAAAGAGAGGATTTATAATGGCATAGTCCTGCACGCTAGCCCGATGCGGGTTGGGAATTTCACACGTTTTCCAAGGGTTCATGCCTTTTGACATGCAGCTTTCGTCACGAAATTTTTCCGTTCGCTCTTATGGCGGCACTTCATATGATTACTTGTATTCGCTGTTAGGTGTCTGATGTACTTGGAAAAATATTTAATCTACAGACAAACATGCCGACACTGACAAATATGACTGAATATGACCATAGTGTGGACGGTATACTTGCGTATTTGGCTCTTGTGATGTGCGTCGAGAAACTCGTCATCGAGTTTGGTCTATTTGTCGAATAGGCAAACAAGGCAAATACTTCGTCACGCATGTTATCTACACATGGTGACTATTTGCCAAATATATCAAATACACCAATACGAATAGCCGTGTGAAGTGCCACTAAACAGATATTGCTACTAAACAGTCGCAAATCTACGTAACATAGAAATTAAAATCTTCTGGACATTTCGCTGCAACAACTCAGTTGGTCGAGTTAAATTGAGAAGCAACAGCTCTCTACTACCAATGCTTTTCATAGTAAAGTAAATGAACTTGTTTTTGACCCCTACCTAGCCCTGGAGCAAAGATAGGGTCTACGTTGGAACGACCTCGCTCTTCTGAGCGTACTCGTTCATGTTAAGTTGTCTTCGTGCTATCGTCTTTCGCGCAAATGAACTATCGCATATTCAAACTTTCGCGAAACTGACCATTCGCACAAATGAACTATCGCGCATTTAAGCTTTCGCGCAACTGGCCATTCGCGCAAGTGAACTATCGCGCATTTAAGCTTTTGCGCAAATGGCCATTCGCGAAAATGAACTATCGCGCAATCGTCTTCGCACTATCGTCGTTCGCGCAATTGGCATTCGCATTCGCGTCGTAGACCCCCACAACAGACCCCTCACCAAGTAGAGACGATGACATTTAAATAAACATAATTGTAAATACATTTTCAAAGTTTAAAATCGATACTGTTATGTCCCTTTCAATCCCGAAATGTCTTTCATAAATGTTTTTCAAATGACAAATATTTTTTTTATTCAGGAGATTGATGGAATGTACGTGGTGTCCTTCGTGACTTTTCTGGGCATCTGCTTCTTTCAAATATTCTTTTTGTGCTTGTTTGGAGACCTGATAGAGCAGTCTGTAAGTATCAAACTCAAGTGTTATTTTAGTAATAAGAGTTTGAAGTAGTTTTTTAATTTCACAACAAATTAAAATTTATGGCTTTAAAATTTCGGCTTAAATAACCTATATCAACTTTACGACCCCAGCTTCTACAGGCTGTATTCAATTAGCTTTTTTGAAGGTACGATAATGAATCACAAGTATTGATAGGTCTCTTTAATCAAAAACACTGAGTCACAAAATACACGGGACGTCGCTATCCTTCTAAGAAAATATTCCTCTAAGGCCGGCAAACTAGGGGACGAATGACTTTTGAGGTCGGTTCTTTTAGTACTCACTACTGATTAAAAGATAAATTTGTGCTCTATCTTTTGCTATTTAAATCGGATATTTGACCATTTATCCTTAGTTAGTGGACGGCAAGATGTATTTAGTTCCAAATCTTTGTTATTGTAATTATTATCTGTATTATTAGTATAAAATGCATATGCACTGTGTTGATTATTCTAGGAATGAATTATTTCTATTTCTAACTAACAGTATGCTGGATACAGAATATACAGATTCAAATATTTGACTATTTACCAGGAATTAGAGGAGCAGGAAGCAGCTGGTTCTGGTGCCGAACATATAGGTGTCCGCTGTCTGTGCTGATCAAATAACGCAGTCGTCCGAGACGGCGGGTCAAACAAACTCCCATTTCGTCTTTGATATAAAATAGTTTCTCGCCTGCATTTCACTTCCGAGAGCAAATTCTCTCACTTCTGTACAATGGCGGAACGGTGTTTTAGGGGGTGCTCCTATCTTGTTCGAACTTCTCTTCCAAGCATAAGTAGGGTGGGTCGTCGTAAGTAGTGGGCGTAGTTCGAAGGGTATTTATAACCATCCGAATGTTTTGAAATATACCACCACATTGCTCGTTTTCGTTAGCAAACCACGTAGGAAGGGTCGTGCGCGATTACCTTTCTTTAAATCAAACGTCATCGTTGTCAATTTGTTAAATAATTAAAGAATTCACTTTGTAGCATAAAAGACTTTGAAACATGATAGAGAAAATTGTCATGAAACGGTATTCGAGACACAGATTCAAATATATGACATACCTGAATGTCGAAAGAGGGTTTGAGATTGGTAGGATTAAATAAATTACGCTAGGATTATTGGATTACTGACACGGGCGACAATCGCTATAATTTTTATATTATTCTTACAAAACTGACACTGGCCCAAGCCTAGTGGCCGCCATTAAAGAAATAATAATAATCTCATTAGTATCACAGATTTATTCCGTAGAGAATGTTATGCGGAGGAGCAATAGAACAACCCCAAAAAAAGTGAACATGATCAAATTGTTAGTTAACTAACAATTTAAAAAATGAAGCATTTCCCACAAAGAAGTGAAAATGATCAAATTGTTAGTTTGGGCCTTATACTTAGGACTCATATAAAGACACAATATTTCATAAATTACGAACTTACATATCGCATGGTACATTGCATCTTAAAACTATTCACAATATTTTAAGTAATGTAGAAATGCTTCTATCCATCCTTGGTGGTTTCTTGCATGAAGAAAGGTAATAGAATAGAATACACTAGCAACTTCATTTCATCATTCTGGTGATGGTACGAAAGCCAATAGCTGATTTAAAAAAGTCACTGTTTTTAGTAGTTTCTTTTTAGCGTAACGACGAGTTGTTTACATTAACATCCCATTACTGGGACTATTTATCTTTAAACAACGAGTGATTTTGTGATTTCGGCATCTAAAACTAGTATAATTATTTATTACTAATGTTAAATGTGCCTACTTACCGATAACATTTGTTTAATATTATAATAATGATATGTAAACAAGGGAAACCCGTCATTAGCTTTATTCTTAGCCTATATACAATGTAAAATACTTTATGTAACGCCGTTGGTTTTCTTAATATATAAAAAAAAAATCGACTCATCCGTAGAACAAAGATCTATGTGCAAGATTACTTGTTCTCAGAACATAGTACATTTCGTTCGTTCATCTTCGCTGTGGATGTCAGATCGACCGTTGTTAGATTTTGTATTTCCATAGGCCTATATATCTTTACATAGGCCTTAGTTTCAATAACGAAATTGTTCTCGTGACGTACTCATTCTCTTTTCGCTGTATAATCACATCGGACTCTGTTCTTCGGACGAGTCGAAATAGAACTAATACGACCGATTACGCCATTTTCATTTTATTTTTCAGAGTGCAGAAGTAAGCAATGCCGTATATGAAAGTAAATGGAATTTGACTAGTATTCAGCACTCTAAAGAACTCTACATTATAATGATGAGGTAAAGACGAACTTATGATATTATTATAATATGAGACACGCAAAAGTCTTTTTTGAAGTTGGATTATACTGTAACTCTTGTTGTCACTTGTTACACCAAGACTCTTGTTGTTGACACGGAATTGAGGTCCCGCGTGCATCATTGACTCCTAACTGGGAGATAAATTGAAATATTCCTCAATTCCCTTACAGCACGATGCTGTTGTAATGGCAGGATAGCCTAGACGCGGTCTTGAGTAACTGGCTGAAGATTACAGTGGATAGTGAGATTTGGAATTGGAAGTCCGATACTGAGCTTAGAGACGGGGTGCTTTGAAATATGAACTTGAGAAACTAAATATATCTTTTACCTCCAAGTTTATGTAGCATTTTTTTTGTAATATCAAGTGACGGGACGAACAAGTCGTGCGCCTGATGGTAAGCTACACGCCTGTCCATAACAGCTGCAGTGCCACTCAGAGCTTTAAATCGTAAAGATCTGAGGGGCACTGCCACTGCGCCCGTCACTCTGAGACATAAATTGACAAGTCCCATGTGCCTGTAATTTCACCAGTACCCTTACCATTTCTAACTGGAACACAATAGTGGGGACATTACTGCTTGGCGGCAGAAATAGGTAAGGTGACAGTACTTCTCTGGACGAACTCTCTCACAAGGAGCGCTATTGCTACTAGCATCATTATAATTAAATTAATTTGGTTTTTGTTACTTTTGCAACCCTTTGTTATTAAAGTATGCATAGTGTCGATTAGAACTAAAAAAATTTTGATCAAGTTTATTCATTTATATGCCAAAATTGTTTTTACAAATAAATACTTAATGGTTCCTAAGACAGTTTCCTTGTAACTTCTACGGTTTCGGATTTCCCCATACTGTCCTATTAAAAAAAACAGCCTATATAATGTTTTGTTTCCTTTTACAGGGCTCAAAAATCTTGCAAGCTGACAGCTTACGGTTTTGCTGAAGTAAATTTGACAGCTTTTACTAAGGTATGCAGTTTTCTAATTTTTGAGTTATTTTTTCATGATACCTAGAGACGGAACAAACAAGTCGTGTGACTGGTATTAGGCAACAGGAATCCATTGCAGTTACAGTGCCATTCAGAGATTTAAATCGCAAAGATCTGAAGGACACTGCCACAACGTCCATCATCCTGCGACGTAAGTTGACAAGTAGTAATTTCACCAGCACTCTTCAAAGTCGGAACGTAATGATACTCACATTACTGCGTGGCGGCAGAGATAGGTAATGTGACGGCTACTTCACTGGACGAACTTGAGGAGACACTCTATTGCTACTAAATAAATTAAGGTCTCAAATAAGCGATGTTTTTTTCCTTAGATTATATAGGCTTATTAAATTCTATACTATATTTTGGCAATATGCCTACTATAAGTTGCTACAGAAAATGTTGGAGGAAAATAATAAGTTTTTTTTACAGATAATGAACACGGCTATGTCTTACTTCACTCTGCTAAAAACAGTTCGATAAAGAGAAACCTATAACTGCAGCATTTTGAGAATATGTAAAACTGGTGTTTATAATAAGGCTTTCTAGATCTTGAATTCCCTTGTTATTGTCGTTGTTTATGCTCGTACATATGTATTCATTTTAATGCACAAGAAAATATAAATCTATTCTCACAAAATCATGAATTTCAACATAGTTTTGGATCCTTTTTCGCTACACTTTATTTGCTACGCTAGTCTAGTCAAGTTTTTGATATCAAGCGCATGTAGACGCAGTTTTTTGTAAGCATAACGGTTACTACGCCAGTGGCACGTAGACCATATTAGTGAAACGTGACAAGATAGCGTCGAGTAGATTATTTATTATTAGATGTCTTATGTTTCACAGAAAAAGAAAACGTATACAGTGTTATAGTTTTTTCATAGCGCCATATTTATCACTTCTCTCCCGTGAAGGTTTTAATTAAAAAGTTGTCTGTTCAGCACAAAAGATTTTATCAAGAAATCGCACGATAATTGAGATCTCAGTCATAACTGTTCGTTGAAACAAACATTCTGAATAAAATCAATGAGAAACCACCGCATAAGTATCGCTATTCAAACATGAGTCTCGCGTGTTTGGTTTGAAACGTGGTGGATGCATATTCGATGAAATCCATGAAAGTTCGCCGAACATTTTCTTGAGTTAGAGCGTTTCTCCGCTCGTGTGGTTTTTGATCAAAGTTTTCCGTTTCATCGTTTCAAGCCGCGAGCTTGGAGTTTACAACAGACAAACATATATGCATGTATAGACTGCTATCTATCACCAAATATGGAGCAAATATCGAGTTCTTAGGTTTTTGCGATTGTTACACATAGGAAATGTAACTAGGAGTTCTTTACCAGGTCACGGCTGTCCGAAAATGGGACCTACAAAGGGCCTCAAACGGTGGTTTGTTCGTAATAACTTACATCTGACAAAATAGTTTTTTTTTTTTCATAATATAACGGGACACACATCTCGTGGGCCAGGTAGCAAGCGACACACACCTGCCTATAACAGTTTCAGTGCCACTTAGAGCTTTAAATCACTAAGATCTGAGGTACACGGCCTTTGCGCCTGTCACCCAGAGACATAAGTTGACAAGATCCATGTGCCTATAATTTCACTAGCACCCTTACCCTTCAAATCCGTAACACTGCTCATAGTACTGCTTGGCGGCAGAGTTGTTAATTTGTGTAGAGGCAATATCATAACTGAGGAGGTTAATCTGAAGTGCGATTATTGCAGATTATGTAGCGCCTCGGGCGTGTACGCAGATACATACAAAGAAAAACAAAAAAAAGAAAAGAAAAGGTATCCTGAAAGCGATAGCTAATTGTCCTGATTGCCCGATTTTTATTTATACAAGTGTAATTTTAAATGATTTTGCACAGAAAGCCGTTCCGAATTCTTTGTGATTGCGTGACATTTATGAAAGACAATGCTGTGCCTGCGCAGTATCATAATAAGTTTAGCAAATCTCAAATCGATATTTGTGCGATTGCATTGAAACGCATAATTACTTATATCCTTATTGTATACACTGAGTAAGCATTAAAAGGAAAATCTTATCTTTTAGCCACTGATATAAAGCTAATATTGTAGCATTGATTAATGCAATGATGTCAATGAAAATGATAACTTTCTTGGATTATTTCTGCCTATAACTGGTATAGTTATCTATGTGTTGTGAATCGCTAGTCATTGTGAAATTCATTTTCTGATAATTTACGATTTTGTACGGCAAAATGTGCAGTGCTCCTAGCAGTCATTAGAAGAACTAAAATTGTCTACACAAATACTTTACGCGGCCACTAGCGATTTGTAACCCATTAGATAAGCGTTAATTGCAAAAGTTATATTACTTATGTCGTAAATGTATAACGTAAGCATTGGCGTAAGCTCCGTGAAAAACGCGCTAAGTCAGAAAGTGTTTCGAGAAAAATAGATTTAAAAAAAAAATTGGTCTTATTTTGAAGGAGATAGTTTTTTCTAGAAAGAAATTTTAGCGTCAATACTAAAATGAAAAAACTGTTAAAGCAGAAGCTCGTGTTTCGAGAGAAATATTTTTGTAAGATGTATAATTTTGATTGCTCGTCAGCTTTATTACGTGATTTAATTTTGAATTATGATGTTTTTCTAGAAATTACTAAACCACCCCTAACCCACCCCCTAATTCGCCCCCTAACCGACCCCCAACCCCCCCCCCCACCCCCCCCCCCCCCCCCCCTATCCTACCTCCTAACCCACCCCCTATCCCATATTCGTAATGACACTTTAATTTGGTACTTCCGGTCTTAATTGTTTCTTAGAACAACTAAAAAAATTAATTGCAATTGAAATCAATTCAATTGAAATCAATTGCGACACATCGCAATTGATTTTAATTGCAATTGATTTCAATTGAATTGATTTTTTAATCTGACTGAATTTCTGATTGAAATTTAATTGATTAACGCCCAACACTGAGTGCGGGGCTATGAGTTTGTACGTTATTATTATGATTTAATTAGATACCTATTGGGATCGTAAGAAATCATAAACACCCAAAATAAAAAAATTACAAACACCTTTTGCCATTGTGGTCTGTTTGGTGTGGTCCATATGTAGTCCATTGTATATTGCATGTATTGTATTAAAACACTTATTAAAATAAATCACTCGTGACTAAAGCCATAAGCCAAGGTAGCCTAATGGAGATTCAAGTACAGGCCGTGGTTTCGAATCTGGGGTCGCACTTCTAAGTTTCCAGGAATTTATATGCGAAATGTACCATGAGCTTTTCGGTGACGGAAAACATCGTAATGAAACTTGCACGTCAAAGAAGGTTCACAACCCTCGGAAAACGCGTAAAATCCCCAAACCGCATTGGGCCAGTGTGGTAGAGTATGGCCTAAACCCTTCCCTGAGAGGAGACCCGTGCCCAGCAGTGGGATGTGTGTTGATGATGATTTCAATATAGCAAGAGAATACAGTCATGAACAACGTATTTTTGTCAAATTATGTTTACAACCTGCAGGTAAAACTAAAATAATGATGTGACAACCCTACGCTCCGAGGAAAGTGGAGACATGAACGCGCCGAACAAATGGAAGTTGTACTAGTTTTAGTATACTATGGAATTAGTGTCGCGCTATGCAATTCACCGTACAAATATTTTGTCAGTGACTTTAACCACAGTGTAAAGAAGATACAGTAGGAGATGTCCCACTTTACAGTCTTTGAAGTCGCGCGAAATACTGCTTTCGTCTAGACATTACGGCATAATGCATGGTTGTCACCGTGTGTTTTTTTATTTAGTTTGTTGTGTGAGTGTTCTACTACTACGTCCTTATTTAATAATAAAAAAAGTTTACTCACAAGCCGTTTTATAGTATTTGCAGTAGTAAGGATACGTAAAAAAATATTTTTTTTGCTTAATCGTTTTATTTTAAATAAAACACTCTCTCACTAAATTTTTTCAAAGTTGTTCCGATTAATGGGTCTTTCACATGTTTCAATCCAAGGCTTGCATCTGAAAATAATAATAAGCATTTATTAGCTACTTTGTTTATATATTATAGTATGAAGTACTTGATAAATTTAATTATGATATTCATAAACATCACCTCCTCGGATCTAGGATTTAGAAATATGTAACATGTAGTATGTACCTTTTTCTACTCACCAAATCACTACAACAGTCATACGTGTCCCGAGCGAGTGTATAGCAGCTCGGGCTCGCACCCGCCCCTCCCTCGTCTTGCACCCCGCACGATTGCTCTGTCTAGACGTGTCCGTTGGCTGACTGTAGAAACTGGTTAGACTGTGCTTTAACATTGCAAACTCACGATAGAGGTACAGTTTTGTTGGATCTACCAACGATTTACATACAACTTGGTTTGAACTTGGAACTAAACATACAAAGTATGAGAAGATATAAATTTGTTTATTTATTATTGCCAAAGTTTCACGCTTCCACTTTAGGAAACTTTGGTATGAAGCTACGCCATTTTACCACACGACCCATTTACGTTACATTGCTGAGTTTCAAGGAGTGGGTTTGGGCCATGGTCCACCACGTGTCACAACCCGCATTAGCCTAATCAATATAATCTGTATTACCAAATACAGACTAAAAAAGTGTCAGATAGCACAACAAAAACTGAAAAGATTATCTTTGACAAATTCGTTGTTTTGTAAAAAATCATGGAAGAAAAATTGTTGTATATGATGTCAGTAATACAGTCCTGTGATATTGTTTGTTTGCAAATAACACTGTACATGTATACATGCACACATGCACACATGACAATAATTATAAGGTTGGATTTTCCCTGGTCCTCAGGATGGAAGAGAACGCTCGCAGAACGCTCGCTCTCCAATCAGAGTTTCGTATAAAAGGACTACTTATACAGGGTCATTTTCATTCTTCAAACTCAAACTCAAATAAATATTTATTTCTTGCTCATTCGTAAGAGAGATTTCCCTGAGAAGAATGAGTAAGAAACTCTAGGAGTTGTTCTTTTTAATTAACTCAAAAAAGATGAAGGTTCTCAATTTGATTGTATTCTTTTTTGTGTATATTACGTGATTACTCCGGAATTTGTGAACCGATTTAGATGATTCTTTTTTGTTGGAAAGAGGGTACCTCAGTATTAGTTCCATTTCAATTTGAAGAAAATATTCCACCTCTAAGGGTGGATGGATGGATGGATGAATGAAAGGAATATTCCAGTATCCGATATAAATAAAACTTGGCAAACAGATTTAGGGTCGTATTCTAGAACTGTACTCAATGCTCAAGTCAGGATTTGAGTATGATTTCAAGCACTGGAAATACGACCCTAATGGCAAGGACTTGAGTATGATTTCTAGTGCTTTGAATCATACACAAGTCCTGACTTGAAAATCGAGTAGAGTTCTAGAATACGACCCTTAATTTCACGAACTTTAAAAAAGTCATAATTGAATAAATTACATTTGTATATATTTCTCATTTACAATATTAATTTCAAAAGGATCAAGACGGGTAACCCATCACAAACTCGAAATATTTATTGTTCGAATTTTCTTTACACCGAAAACTGAATTATAATAAAACAGTTGTTCTTTCAGGATATGTTGAATGTTTATCGCAAAGACACGATTAGGTTCGGTTAGATTAGGTTAAGTTAGGTTTAAAAGAAAAAACATTTTTGTCTCAAAATTACTTTCGAGGTTATTAAAATTCGACTAAACGTTATTTCTGAAAAGTGTCATTTCGGACTATTGATAGGTAACCATCAAGACAACCTGCAAAAGTCTTTACTTTTGCAGTTTATCTTTAGGTCTTTAGGTCATTCACTATTTGAAATATTTGTGCCTTCCCAAGTAAATGCCGATGCACGGCATCGAATTTTGAGGGAAATATAAAAAAATACGAGGTGAATCATAGGAATGCCTTGAGGTACATACTGTTCTTGTTACAGCTATATTCGTCTTATTTATTTAATTTAACACGTACACTTTGTGCTAAATTGATCGTAAACTGAATACAGGGTTCATGTTCTGTCATAGTAATAATACATGAACCCTGGTGGGCATTGCAATTTACTACATTTAATTGCATTTAATTGAGAGAGGTTACGTGCAAATTAATTATTACAATATAACAATAACCAATGAATTATATTAAATTATATATGGTTTAAAAATAGCTATAAATAATTAAAAGTTAATTAAGTACAAGTAAAAATAAAAAGAAAAAAAAAAGAAAATTATGTTTATCATGGGTAATTTCAATTTATATCTTTATCATTAAGAAAATCGTTAAAGAATAATAACATTTTTCATTTAGGAAATATTTTAAATTAACTGACAAAGACTTATTACCTTGTTCGTTTTTAATATTTAATGGAATTTTATTATATATTTTAACAGCTTTGTTATAAGGACTATTTCTGAACAATTCCTACCTTGGCTTTGGAAGCACCAGTTGTTTGTTGCGACGTGAGCTACATGTGAATTCAAAGTCGGTAATATTATTCCTTACAAACTTTGCAACTTATTGTACACATATGCTTATAGTTGGATCGTGGTTATTGTATTGATATTCGTAAGTTACGGCCGTTAGTGTTGCGTTTTGACGGAAATGGACCTGCACCTCTATCATGAGTTTACTGTGACAGGTGTCTACTCGCTACCGACCATGTAAATTACTTTACACCTGTAGCGATTACAAGAATAATAAAATAATAAAATCTATCTTTATTGCCTCCATAATGAACAAAATAAAATTACGAAAAAACTTAAAAGAAAAACTACACTGATGATACTAAGTAGATATTTTTGGAATTAGAAATTAGGATTATCATATTAACAGGAGACAAAAGGATGTGTCTCAGCTGGTGCTACTCCTGTTCAGAAGAAATAACATTTTGTATACAAACAGTTTACGCGGTCGCTAGCGATAACTAACACTGAACAGCGTGCGGTGAGGTATTAATGTGGTGGTAGTGCTTGTCTGACAATGTAGTGTGTGGTATTGTGTGCAGCAAATACCAACCGCCTGCTGTGCATGAAATTATGGTAAAGTTAAGATAAAAATATAAACTACCCTATTATCCCTAGCAGTGAGACTTCAAGAGTCGTTCCAAAGAATTTATCTAATAGTGTATCCCTACAACCTAACGGTGTGTATTCTAACCTAACCATAAATATATAGACGGAGAAATATATATGCAAGATATGAATGGGGAGTCTGTCACCATGAGACCTAAGGTGACAAATGGAAGGTTGGAAGGAGGTAAGGAAGTACACGTCGTGCAATGTGTACTGGAATGGTAGTCTCACTGCCGGTCAAGCAGACTCACAAGACCGATCTACTGATGGCTAAAGGTGTCTTGGCCATAGTGAGAAGAATAGCGGGTAGTACTAAGCTGGATGTTGAATTTGATGAGTTAAAATCAGATGGTAGTGGATAACTGAGTATATTTACAAATCTTATTACTATTTATACAATTTTATGAATAATAAATACATAATGATAGGTTTTTCTCAGTGTGCTATGTGTGTTGGTTGCCGACAAAGCTCTTTTCTGTTAAGTAGTGTATTATATCCTTAGAATAATAACGCACAGAATGATAGTTTCATATCAAACGAACTGTCACAAGTGAGGCAAAAATCAAATTCATGTTGGCTAGTTTTAGTAGTAGGTTAATTTTCGGTTTTAGTGAATATTTATATAAAAATACAAGTTGAAACGCGTTACTTCCTTGTGGAATGTGATGTTAGTATCTATTTTATGTTTGTCTGACGCATTTATACACTCATTTACAGCACATTTCGTCATTTTTGGCTAAAATTCTTGATCTGTTCGAAGGCCCGCCCGCTCGTGTAGGCCCATTGGGCGTGCTTCAATTTGCCTCACTTAGCGTGTGCGGACTAGGTTTCTGTGCGTTATTATTCTAAGATTATATCACTATGTTGCACTTGTTGCCTGATGATGAGGCCATTTCTTGTGACAGTTCAAATGTATGTTACGATCTTGTATTTTATTGTTAAATGTATGATGTTCAAAGTTGAACAGACACTGTAATCTCATTGTACAGGCACTGATCCATATGTAATAACAACTTAGGCGTGACATCAGAATCGAATTTTGCAAATAACTTTTTTTGTCCAATTTGTAAGCTATGTCGTGTCGATTTGAGGTTATTCTTCTAACGCGGAGACATAAAGTTATTTATACGCTAGTAATTTTAACGACAGTAATTATCCTTCTGTAGCTGAATAGGGTGCAAGGAGAATACAAGGGTAGTTTAAATTTTCGATCAGGATTCCAACAATGTGACGTCAAAGAATTCAATAACATTTGTTAGCACAAGCTCGGCTTTCGTTTGGTGTCTCCCCTCGGCACTTAACTTTACATTAAACTTGTCCAAGCGCGAAATTGATCTCTAATACTAAAACCACTTAAACGTGACCTCTGACTCTTGGTCATATATATCCTATTAATAGGTATAAAATTTAAAAGAATATTTTGTCATCAAATCACCAACATTTCAATTATTCTTATAATTTTACCTTGGTCTTACCGGCGAACTCGTAATCTCCCGGAACTCCCTATCTCTCGGATCGATAGATAGGGATAGACACAGCGACAGTTGCTTCAGCTGTACCAAGCATAAGTCTGTTCGTGTAAGGCGTACTGCTGCCACCTATGCGGTGGTTCTGCTCATTACCAACTCGCCACCTTGGATTCAGTTGAAAAGCGTGTCAAGAGGCTTATAAGTGACTCAGAATTAGTAGAAGTTAAGTTGCGAAGCCTTGAACACCGCCGTAAAGTTGCCTGCTTATCGGTATTCTACAGGATTTATCACGGAGAGCGTACGAGGGAAATGCACGATGTAATTCCTCCTGTCCCGTTCCATCATCGGGGAACCAGACGTACGCTGGGGTTCTACTCCTATGTTGTAGATATACCATCATTGGGGACTAGACGTAGGCTGGTAAATGGCTAATAATAATAAAGCACACACTCAACATAGCCCCGCACTAGAGAAACCCTGTGTCGCGGGAGCCATAGACAACCATAAATTACACCCAAACTCACGAGAGAAATAAATGTAGGCAATACAAATATTTCTACTGGCCCTATGTTGTAGATATTCCAATGATTTTGTTTCCCTTCCACATTCAAATGGCGAACGGCTATGGAGTAGAATTACCTGCATACACAGACTTGTTCCCTGAACGTTATAACTTGGACTTTTTTAAGGCGATAGTGAAGAGGCATTAATTATTTAGGTATGCGTGCTCCATCGTCGACGTCATAGTCACTTTCGATCCGGTGAGGTGGAATTCACATGCGCACTTATTGTTTTTAACAACAAAAATACGTAGACGAAGTTATTTAGATCAAAAAGGGAAAATGTAATGTCGTGTTGAATGTGGAACCTGAAGTTAGGATACTAAACATTGATTAGAGATTACTCCACCGACAAAGCACTTAAATAAGAAGAAGAGGAAGAATCTGACAACGAGACCGTGAGTTACCAATGGAAATACTTTGTATTTAATTTGAATCAAAGATTATTTGTCAAGAGTCATCAAAAAATGGTCGTATGTAGTGAGGGATCCCTCAACGAAAATATAAATCGCCACGTGACACTATTGATATTTCGTTTCGACGTGAGTTCAATCAGTGATCTGTGAAATTCACTATGATTCCCGTACATATGCGGACAGATTGTAAAAATTTTAATCAAGATATTATATTATTTGCTGTAACCTTTTGGATCTTTTGCACACGTCATATTTATTGTCTGGCTTGGAAATCATTTAAGCTGAATATAAGCTGCTTTCTTTCTATTCCAAATATTTTTATTCTGACTTTATTAGAATGAAATAAGTAAAGCAAGTCATGTGTAGTAACATTTACGGAATTGTTTATCTTCAATAAACTTATATTAAGGGGATAGAGAAACTTTCTAGGAACATTTAGTTCCTTTTACTTTATACAGTTATTCAGCATTATTTATGTTAAGGTCTTACAGTTGAAAACCCAAAGGGAATTTTAGGTACAAGGTGGAATATTCCGTTCTCACTAAACGTCTTCTCAAAACCGATATTTTACATTACTGGAATAGACATTGAAATTTTATTATACAATATACAAACGCACTCGTAGTTGTAGAGGTAATAGAGCTCCTTGTGAAAGAGTTCGTCCAGGGAAATACTGCCGCCATCTTATCTATTTCTGCCGTCAAGCAGTAATGTGAGTATTACTGCGATCCGGTTTTGAAATGTAAGGGTGTTGGTGAAATTACAGGCACTTGGGATAAAATTTATCCAACGGGCTCAGTGGCTCTCAGATCGCTGCGATTTAAAGCTCTGTCTGGCACTGCAACTGTCATGGGTAGGCGTTTCGCTTATCACTAAGCGCATGACTTGTTCGTGGCGTCGCTTGAGATCATAAAAAAAGTCTCCTGCTCTAAAAATGAGACTGAAACTTCTAACTGTAAAAGTTGAAACAACGTTATAGTTCCAACGTATGACAGCCGTGACGGCAGATCTCACCTGATGCTAAGCGACAATGTGACCGAAGATGGAACGCGTTTGCCTAAAAAATGCCTATTCACTCTAGCCTTGAATAGCCTCAAATTGTACGTTTCGGGAAACACGGTAGAATATTCCATTACTTTGTCGCACGCATCAGAAAGGAGGAAGCAAAGCGCTTAGTATGAATTGGTGGTATATCATCAACATAAGGATGGAGTGTTCCGGACCTTCTAGTCGACCGAAGGAGGAACGGTGAGGGTGGAACTAAATTGAAAAGTTCTATTGGATACATTTCGGGGAGTGTGGATAGTAATCCACACTCCCCGAAATGTATCCAATAGAAAACCGACAAGCAGGTTACTTTTCTGCGATAGTCGAGATTTTGTAGCTTCGACTCCACAAGAGAATTGTTGTTAATAAATCTCTTTGCTTCTCGCTCCACCGAGTAAAATGCAGCT